ACTTTGCTTACATCTTGATTACATGTGAATGCACACATCTTAGTAACTATTTTTTTTAATATATATATTTTTTCAAGTTAAAAAGTATTGCTTACAGATAGCATTATATTCATTCATAAATATAATTATGCTTTTTTTTTTGTTTGGGGGGTTACCTAACCTCACCTTGTCATAAAAAGGCAAAATTATTTGACTTATTGATACTGACAAATAGTCACAAGGGTCTCTCTAATGTACAATTTCTGCTTATTGGTTGAACCATGTTACCATTTTTTCATTATTACTGCAATATGAATAAGCAGTTGTTGCAGTTTTATTAAAATAGTTCATGTTTTATTATAAGACACAACAAATGACTGTCAAAATACTTCAAGATGTTTTCTTTTCAATAATTTTTGAATGAGGCTTGTTTCATTATGGCATCAGTTCACTGCATTTCTGACTTTATGCTTCTCCAAAAAAAATCATAAAAAAAGATTGCCATGTCATTGACCCTTTTTTGTTCCAGTCCACCTCTGACTTACCTCAAGTGTGGCCTGTAACCAATAACCATTTAAAGAATAAATCTGAAGGAAAAATTATCTGAAGGAGTGTTGTATAAAATATATTATGAATCCATTATCCTAATAGAATATGTAGGAACTCTGTTTAAAAGCCTGCTGAACAGGAGATTGGTCACCAGCCCTTCATATCTGTATCCTGCATGGTGACCAGAGCTAATGATAGAGATCTCGATTACACACAAACACATGTGACCGGCCCAGAGAGGACCCTGAAGGGTAACAGTGTACAGGCCTGTCCAAAGCATGGATGAAATGTCAAGCATGCGCTACGGTGAGACCGAGCGAAAGCGGGATCAGGGTCAGATCAGGGTGTGCTGACGTGTAACTCAGTGCTATCTCATCAACAGCATGTCTTCTTCACCTCTACATATTCAGCAGTGCAGGATGTTGCATCTCACCTTATCTTTGTTTGGCCTCCACTTATTCTGAGAAAAGCAGCAGTCAGCGATGTACACAGTACAAATTTAGTGTTAAATTCTGATTATACTTATCAGTGTTTTCAGGGGGAATGTTCATAAGCATTCATCTCGATATGCAGGTCTGTATGTGTGCTTGTTAGGGCTCTTATGGGGTGTTTGAGCGATAAGAATGTAAAAAGAGATGCTGGAAATCAAGTGGGAATACAGTGAATTGGATTTATGAGCAACCAGATCAGATCACGAACCAACCATGATTCACCAGTTTATTTTGTACTAAAATTCAACTGAAACCACACATACGCAAAACACAATACTTTGGGTGGCCTTATAATCATGTTAAGATAAACTGATTTATTGCTTATGCTTTGAGGGGTTTTTTTCTGTATGAGAACGCAGATATGCTGTGTACAACTGGCTAATAATATACTGACTGCATAAAAAGTGTTTGTTGTGGTTTTGAGAATGGCATACTTGGCATTGCTTGAGGATCTAACGAAGTCGTTACTTTCATTACAGGAGTACGTCTCAGGTTACTTATGTAACCATGGTTCCCTGATTAGGGAACCACACAGGGGCTACCACACGTTTCTCTTTGTATGTGCTGAAGGAACTGTCTCAACAGACCCCTAGTAGCAACTCCCTGTTAAAGTAGGTATCCAGAGGATACATAGGAGGAGTGGTGTCCAAGGCCGAACCGGGGTTTTAAACCACTCAGAATGAGCACGAAGCTGTTGCGCGTAGCTCTTACCGTACAGGATTTTAGGAAAGTGCGCAAAGCATAACGTGCACACTTACCACTTATGTGGATTTGTAGAAAAGTGCGCAACGCTTAACGTGTGCACTTAACATAGTATTTGGATTTTAGAGTTTTCCAAGCATCTGTTTACAGATACCTGGAAGTACTGGGCCAAACGGGAGAGGCAAGCTCAAATACAACCCTCAAAGGTGAGGGGAGCACTGCCCGAGACAGCATTTACAGCATTGAAAGGGACAGAAACACACAGGTCCCAGGAAACACTGCAAAGAAACTAGCCCCCTCGGAGACATCGCGTGCGTGCTCTTCGCCCAAACAAATAACGCATAGATCGTGTGTGTCATCAGATGTTAAACAACGTCAACACGGATGCACACATCCTTAAACGCTTTGCTAGTGCTTGCCATAATGAGATGAATAGAGATCACTCTTACCACAGAAATTTTTTGCACGCTTCAAACAAAACAGTCAATGAAGACGAAGAAGAGAATGATGTGTGCTCCCGGCGCCTATTTATAATATAGTCACACCGGTAGTGACGTCATGGTTGTCGCCGGCCAACGAGTTGGTGTTTTTTCAATGTATGCTTCAGACACAGGTCACGACGAGGCATTCCCCATAGTGACCCCTAGAGGATGCAGTTCGAAGTTCCCATGAAAGGGAACCGAAAGGCTGCAAGGAAAGGTTGTGCGAAAAGCCCTTATATGGAGATGGGCGTGTTTATGCAAATTAGTAACTTTGAGCGGTCACTCATTCTAGAAATCTCAGAATTCATTAACATTACAATAAGGTGTATGCATGTGTTGCGAATTTTTGTAAGAATTTATCATGTGCGTACAAATACGAAATTATTAGTGAATGACACCCAATATTCTGGTTGAATGATCACGATTAGTCTACATGAACTTGCTGGTACATTTCAGCCAACAGTGACCTACTTTGCACTTTCTTTCCATCTCTGGATCTGTTTCGGTCCCCCTGCAGCGTGCAAGCATGTGCTTGTGCCCTGGAAAAAGAGCGGTCACGTACACTGAGAGATTCCCTGGCAGAGGCTGTGCTTGTGGCTGGGTTCGTTCCAGCTGGGGGAGAGAGTGGAGGGTTAATGATTAGTCTCATGCTCTGTGTGGATCAAGGGCATGGGACCGTACGGGCCCCGGGCCTGGGGAAAACAAGAGAGAGAGAGAGAGAGGGAACAAAAACCAAGAACTCAACAGCTGTATCACTCATCACTTCTATATTCATACTCAACTCCCAGTACAGATCTATATTTACACATCAGTACTGTGTACTCCACATTTATTTCCAGTAATGATTCTATAATGAATAATTAGCCACTACTTCTCTATCCATTAAAGGTGTTGTAAGTGATTGCTTGACACATGAAATGTTCCTACTTCCTGACAGATATCGCTGAAAAGAGGTCCTGAGAAATGGCACCTGCCCGAGTGAGAACACTAGATTCTGTAAACAGCAAAAAGCCCATGCTTTTTTTAGCATCAGAAAACTAGTCAATCTAAAACACTCTCTCAATGGGAATCATTTGGGGTTTGAATAGATGGTTAAATTAGCAAATTAGTGGAAGTTATTAAAATAGTATTAATATCTTTCTTTACAACTGCTAATAATTCATAAGTGTTTTTTAATTTTACATGCTAATGTCCAGTTTTTTTTTTTATTTAGACCTTTGCTGTCCTTGAACACTATGGTTAAACTTTAAAAATGCTAATAAATATGTGTTAAATGCAATCTTTAACAAATCGTATGCTAAAATGTACATTATAATATAGTGATGCCTAAACTCACTTTTAGTACTTAAAATGAATTATTTATTGAGGGTGTTTTCACACCTGGCATGTTTGGAGCAGAAACTGGTGCATTTTCTCCCTTAGTTTGGTTCGTTTAGGCATATTTAAACATGGCAGTCATGCTTAGATCAACACCAGTCTGAGATCACCTGAATGAGGAGGTCTTGGCCAAACTGAAATCATCTCACTTGCAGTGAGAAAGCAATCCGACCCAATGGACTAAAGAGTCAGTCTGTATCATAATTCATAATAGGTAATGCATTATGTGATTTTGTGTGTAAGAACCTTACTTATCAGTTGAAAATAAAAGAGCACCTCTTTATTTTAAAAAATCATTGCTCTTCTACAAAACAGGTGCATTGCAAGAATGCTGTCCCGATGAAGTCTTGATTGAATCAAGGCTTATATGCATTCGTATATGTGTATGTGTGTAAAAAGGAGTTAGATCGCAGATGGATAACCATAATGAGTGGAATCCCAGAACGTAAACAGGAGAACTCTGACCAATGAGAGGACAGTTTACTTACATGTGACTTGCACATGTTGGTACCAAGGAGAAAACAAAGAACAAAGAAAGCAAAAAAATATATATATAGTTGTCTGTAAGAAAAAAATTGATATCTATAATTCATCAACCATAACATGAAACTAATTATCAGAAAAATGTAATATTAATATTAAATATTACATAAGTGCACATGCACTTACTGCTAAGCCACAACTGATTTCTGTTTGGAAATGACCTATTTGCTTACTGATTTATACCTTGAGAGTTCACCCGTCCATATGGAACAACATCCTGGTTTACTTATCTGGAAATTGTCTGTGACCTACTGCCACAATGTTTAATTTTTAAATTAGTAATTGTTTAACAAGGGGATAGAATAAGTCCCCCACACTGCCATAAATACCATAAGGAATTCTGCAAGCTACAGTAGTGTTCAGGACTTAATTTCTACACTTTAGTCTAGCCCGTGTCCAACACACCTGCCTGCAACCATCCAGGTGTGTAATAGATTTGTTTGCGTTTTCCTGAAAGAGAAGATCCCCTACGCATTCCAAGTGAACCATTTTACCGCATTCCCAGCACAACTCGCAATAAACTTTCCATCTTCCTCCTCATAGTCTCTGACCTCAATCCTGTATTCTTTAGGGTCTTTTCTTCTCCACATGCCTCATCTAGCTGTGCTGTCATCCTCTTTCAACCCCTACCCCTCCTTCACTCTTTCTGCCAGAGATATGCATGGAATGTCAGCTCCTTAGGCTTGATCTCGATTCTCATCAGGAAGACATTCTCAATATCTCAACTGCACTTGCGATACTAATTGCACATAATAGAGCATTAAAGATGTATCTGTGTCTGATCTTGTGGTGCCAGAGAAACACTAAAATGCACAGAAGAACATTCCTCCAGGTAGTTTCGACAGAAACATTAACCCGTCTGTCTCTCTCCTGACAGCCTCCATTCCATTCTTCGCCTGTGAGCTCAAAGCGGTGACTCCGTACATGAGGGGCTTCTTCTGCGGGGACACCAGCATCACATACCCTTACATAGAAAGTGAGGCCATTCCTGACAGCATGCTTATAGCCGGGGGCATCATAATCACAGGACTTACGGTGAGAACACACACATAAACTGAAATATCACTTGTTGAAAGACCACAAAGAGATAGCTCACCCAAGAGTGTAAACTCTGTCTTCATTTACTCAACCTCATGTCAGACTTATTTTCTTCTCAAAAGTACAAAAGATTTTTAAGAATTGTTCTTTTCCGTTGAATTGCAAAGTCTTTTAGGTATCAAAATGGGTGCAAAATCAACATTAAAGTATGATAAAAGTGGTCAATATAACTCAATCTTTCAGAAGCCTTAAGAATATAGCATATAAGAAAACTTTGAGCAAAAAATAAACCAAAATGTAAGTTATCACCAGTAAGCTGTTAATTGCTGTTGGAACCAATAGCCTTCTGGGCAGTGCTTCGTCATGTAGGCATAATTGCACTTCAGGCGACCAAACATCGAATCCCAGTTCATGGTCCTTTACCAATCCTGGCTCCCTCTCTCTCCCACTTCGCTTCCTGACCTCTCTCCAACTGTACTATGTGAATAAAGTAAAAAATGGCAAAACAAAAATTATTAAAGGCCCAGGCACACCAAACCAAATCAAAGAACTAGTGGTAACGAAAACCGTGTTGTTGCCTCATGTTACCTAGGCGAACAATTTGCACTTGAACAAAGTGCATAGACTACAGCCAGTAGCAAAACTGCATGTACGTTCTGCGCCGACATGAGAAGAAATAACTCTCCATACCAACAGGTTGCAGTAGTCTATATTCATCATTCAAAAAGAGAAACTGAAAGAGCTAGGACTGCGGATATCATTGCAAATGAGATAAAGATGAACAACTAGCCTTCTGTTTGTTTCCTCAACTTTGTCATTGCTTGCCTTTGACACTTCTTCTCGTCCACTAGTTCGCCAAACAGAGTGATCTTTCTCACTAACTGCCCAAAGCCGATTCAACATGCTCAAGCATCTACAGATCCACCAATGGGTGTCCAACTAGTGCCAGTAGTACAGAACACACCACAAAAACCAGTCGAACATATAATAATAATAATAATAAAGATTTATTTGTATAGCACTGTTCATCAGGCAACATAGGCTCAATGATGGACGAACTGGTGCATCGTGGCTGATTTGTGAACCAGTCATTTACACTGGTTTTGTGAACTTGATCAACTAATGCATTTATAACAGGGGTGTCCAATCCTGCTCCTAGAGGTCCAACGACCTATAGAGTTTAGCTCCAACACACTTGCCTGGAAATTTCTAGTGAGACCGAAGACAGTGAATAGCTGGTTCAGATGGCTTAATTTAGGGTTGAAGTTAAACTCTGCAGGACAGTGACCCTCTAGCAACAGGTCTGGACACCCCTGATTTAAAAGAATGATTCATACTTTCTACTTCTCTCATGAACTCAAAGTCAAGATTGTTCAAGATAATAACTTTTTTTTTTTTTCCATTTTGCTCAAAAAACTATTTGAAGAACTACTTCTATGGTGTTTTATGTAAAGCTTTCAAGCTATCTTTTCAATGTAATTCTGTGGAAAAGAGTGACCAGTACATTTAAATTGACCTTTGATGTTCCCTAAAAGAATGAAAACTGTATGGATTTAAAACAACATGAGGGTAACTGATGACAGAATTTTCATTTTCGTATTTTACGAGACGTCCTGTCCATAGTAGTATTTAGCCCACGGTTCTCCTGTTACTGAAGGCTATTGATTTACTCTTTTCATCTATTTTGCTATTGAACAAGAGTTTCTCTTTGTGTAAGAGAGCATGTGTATGAGGTGCTGTGAATTATTTAAGGCATCATGAGACTTGTAGTATTTAACTCAGTGTTGCATGGCTGTAACCTTAGCGGTGTCCCCTGTCTGTCTCAGATTGCTGTTGGAGAGTGTTACCGGGTACGATTCAGAGATGTGCACTCAAGGGCGTTTGTGCGCAACCTTTACGTGTCCTGTCTGTATAAGGAGCTGGGCAGCTTCCTGTTTGGCTGCTGCGTGGGACAATCCTTGACCAACATGGCGAAGCTGAGTGTGGGCCGACTCCGTCCCCACTTCCTGTCGGCGTGCAATGTGACCTATGAATCACTCAACTGCATACCCGGAACCTACATCTCAGATGTCACCTGCAGGAACAAATCCAAGATAGTGGAGGAGGCCAGGTAAGTGAAGTACAAGGAGTTTAATGGGAGGCACAGAGATGAGATGAGCTCTGTTCCAAAACCTAGGCCCTGTACAAAATTTGCATTGTTACTTCTTTTGAAAGAGTACTTATTGATTTATACCAAGGGTCTCCAACCCTGCTCCTGGAGACTTGCAGTTCCTGCAGACTTCAGTTCCTACCCTGCTCCAACACACCTGCCTGTAATTATCAAGTTAGTGTTGGAACTGAACTTTCCAGGAGCAGAATTGGAGACCCCATATACTGTAGCAGGGGTTGCCAATGTCCGTCCTGGAGGGCCACAGTCCACCAAAGTTCAGCTCCAACCCTAATCAAATACACCTAATCAAGGTCTAAGGGTTACCAGAAAGCTACTGGCAGGTGAGTATCAAGGTTGGAGCAAAACTCTGCAGGACTTGGCTCTTCTGGATCGATGTTGGCCACCCCTACCATGTAGTATGAATGTGTGTAGTATGAAGGTAATCCGGACGTACTATATCCATCAGGTTGTCATTATCATGTAACCTACCAGTGTCCGTTGTGAAGCTTCACTGCCATTCACAACTCCGCTCACAAGGCCTCATAGGATAAAGTGTCCATCAGACGAGCACATCAGAATCGCGTCGGAAGTAGTTGGTGACCCGGGTACTATTTGTCTACTATAAATAAATCTGAATTCGAACATACTATCTTTTTATGCAATATTTTTCACCTACTATATGTAGGGAAGTATGCATATTCAGATGGAGCCTAAGTGAGTTGTCTTGCTGTATACTACCTACATAGGCAGCATCCTAACCAAAACGGATCTTCACAACTGAATATTTGTAACATTTTACTTGCATGACACAAACAGTACTCCACATGGAAGACTCGACTTGCAACTGATTCTGATGGAGTTCGATGTTGCTAAGCTAACAGCACAATAAATATATACTTTAAAAGATTTGAAGTATGATAAAACTGCACATTCAGTACAACAAAGCACATTTTGCCACAAGGGTCAGCTTGTCGCAATGCATTCTAGGATTGTCTACTCTATGAAGGATAAATGCTATAGTTCTTTAATATGTGGCCAAAAGAAAGTACCTTGTGCTATGTTCCAAACAGGATAAATCCACCTCCAAAGGGCATATCAGAGTGAGAACAATCATTGCCATCATATTGAAGGGTCATTCTAAACTGAATTACTCAAAACTGGCCACTTTGAAGGGTGCAACTGATGGACACTTCGCTCCCATGATTCCTTGTGGAGGTTTAATTGTGTGACGATGGCGCCTCCTTAACTGTCTCAGCAAGATGACACAAAAGTGCCTTCCAAGGCACAGTTTTTTGGTTCCATACACCCTTAATCCCTTTGAAGCTCTCACTCTGGAGGGTAAACCCTTCGAAAGGATTAGGGCACTTCAGAATGGAACGTAGCAATGGGTGTTTAAAACAGCGTAGTAAAACAGCGTAGTAAAACAGTGTAGTAAAACAGCACAAAACATCTAGTGATGCTTCCTAGGTAGGAGGCTCACTAGATTTTGGAACAGAGCTACAGTGTATGATTAATTAAAGGTACAGTTTTTCAAGTGCAAATGCTGGATGTTTTTTGACTGATCACATTGTATGTTTTATGGAAATATAAAGGAATTTACTTAAAATAACACTTATGCTTGTGATTGCTTAATATAACATCATGAAGACAATGTTATGGCCCATAAAGCAGTGCAGCGGTTTAATGATTTGCGAGATTATGACATTTAGTTGGTAATATTTCCCTTCTGCTCTTTTCAAACAGAAAGTCCTTCTTCTCGGGCCATGCATCTTTTGCCATGTACACCATGCTTTACCTGGCAGTGAGTATCGCCGTGTGTGGCCATATTTACCACATGCACACTCAAACACGCAAACTCAAACACACGTCAGGGTAGCGCCGAATGACTGTGCTTGCTGTCGGATGCCGGTGAGGAGCTTTTTCTGTTGTCAGCTTTCACTTCCCATCCCTGCCATGTGGGAAAAATGCCAAAAAATTCCAACTGACAAGAAACTCTCTCAAACTTCAACTCACACAAATGCACACAAATAAACTCATACTGAAAGAAGAAGGCTCTGAGAACGCAAAAAAACTCCCAAAAGGCATTTTGCTTCAAGCGGAAAAGAAAGGCTTGAGTGAAGGAGGGAATGTTCTCCAGAGGCCTGATGAATAGATGAGCGGAGAGAGGGAGAGCGAGTGAAAGCTAGCTGAAGACAGAGGAGGCCTTGTTTAGTTGTGGGTTGTGTCTGGGAGAGGGGGAGTTTTGGCCTGCTGAGAGATAGACAGGCTTCTTTCAGTTAAACCCCTCTCTCTCACTTGCTGTTATGGCCTGGGGAAGAGGCACAATAAGGGGAAAAAAATTACAAAACGCTCGCAAACGATCATAAAGCATGACATTCAATAGCATTCACATTTCTCTTTCACTCAACTGCCCCACAAACCTTATCAGAATTTACTCTGCCTTGTGTACCAATCACGTTTAGAATGGAGGGAAGAAAATTCGCCCGCTGTGTAAAAACAAGCTATTTTCGACCATTCATCTAATTCAATTCACAGGCCTCTGGCTGCTCTAAAAGCAGGAGAGCTCTTCAACTCTCATTAGAGAGCACGAGAGAGAGAACATGAACAGAGCGAGGGAAAAGCCTATAGAAAAGCCATGCCAGGCTCTTTGTCCTCTCTGCCTGTTTTTTTTCTCTCCGTCCCGGCCAATGGCCGCACTGTACAGGCTCGGCTCTGCCTTGCATGCCTGACCTGCAGCCACATGCTTTGGCTCTGAGCGCCAGCTGCTCCAGGCTTTACTGCAGGAAGCCAAACACCTGTGACAGGGCTGATGGGAGGGGTACCAGGGCATTTAAATTCTGGGATTTTTCACGGTCCCTCGTGTGACATCAACTTCCATAAAGTTAATCTACAACCAATACCCGCTGATCCCAATACATCTCCCCTAATATTTGTCGTGTAGCTAAGCTAGTTTGTCAGGGTGGTATCATTAACATGTGCTAACAATTTTTTTTCACCATATGGCTCTGTTCCCCAAGCTAGTGTTTACTTCTAAGGCAGCATCCTAACTAAAATGTAGCCTCAAAATTGATGTTTTGGAACACTCTGTGTAATGCAACACAAGCATTGAAGTACCTTTCGAGGAAGGTTAGTTCACTTGGCGTCCATATTTTCAACGCCTCTAGGAAGCTATTTAACCAATTGCCTACTGCCTCTTTTATTTAGAAGGCGGGACTTATCCTAGTCATGGTCATTTGAGTGCACCATCATGGTATATCTTTGATGAAGAAAACTCGACTTCACAACTCATTTCAATTTGGTGTTTGCAAGTTTTTAAGTCAACAACAGGATACTTTAATGCTGCCTTCACATGCTAGCTTCCTTATCGGAAATTGGACATTAATGACTTCTCAAGTCGTATTTACTACAGGGAAACTCTGAGATTATTTTGATACACAAGTTTTCCAGTTGGGCGGGCCATAAACTTTTAACATGGTGGAGGGGACAACGATTGCTGCTGGCAGTGCTATTCTTTATTAGTTTTATTTTCAACAACAACTACATCACCTTGTCGTTAAAGTAGTGCCTATTTATATATATGAACAATCATTTGAAGCATGTTGTATGTATTATAAACAGTCAACTAAGCATGTATTTGACCGAAATTCCAGAATCGTCAGTAAGCTGACTATCTAGCGCAGTGAATGTTTATGATTATCAACCAATGGAATATAACATTTTATTCTTTTGACAACAAAGCACTTGAATACGACAAGCTTGTAATCACGTGTATGTAATTTTTAATTACATAGAACATTTTTGCAACAATTCTGGCATCTTGGATGAAGCTTGTCACAGTATATTCTGGCATTGTCCATTCTATTGCCTTGGAATTTTACAGAGACAAGATAACGTTTGGAACGGACAATGTGAAGACGGTGTTTGTGATGCTCACTATATTTGGGAACAGAACCTTTTTAATACCATCTTCCACTGATAGGGTGGAGATACAGAAAATAGATATCCGTAGAAGGCCTAAATAATATTGTCTCTCAAGTATTGTAAGCTAATTTAAAGATGATTAAAGATCAATAACATGCATTTAGATAATATATACACGTAGGGTGGATTTTTATTTGATGCAGACTTTGTTCTTAGGCTATTTATAATAACAGGCTTACACTATTGGCATCTTTGAATTAAAATAAGCACATTATTTAGTCTTTTGAGGATGGTTTATCAGGTTTATCAGATTTAGCTAACTTCCGAGTGATTTTGAGGAAATGTGTCATCAGAAGTTTAGCTAGGTCAGACACACACACTCTAAGCTTTATTTATCAGTCTGTACACTCTTTTATCAGCTCATATGTTAATCATTCTCGAAACTTCCTATCTTTGCGCAGTTTTACCTGCAGGCGCGTTTGTCATGGCGAGGGGCGCGGCTCCTGCGACCATTGCTGCAGTTCATGTTGGTGATGTTAGCGGTGTACACAGGACTCACTCGCATTTCTGACTACCGCCATCACCCCACTGACGTCCTGACCGGCTTCCTGCAGGGAGGACTGACCGCGTACTGGGTGGTAAGAATCACGTTGCCACATGCTCTAGATTACCGTTATTATGAAGCTGGGAGTGTAAGGTACTTTTTGTGTGCTCACTTTAACATTTCCTTACAGGCCTTTTATATTTCGTCCATGTTTAAGACGTCTCGTCCAGACATGTCTCCAACAAGCTTGTCTCTGGAGAGTCCCCTGTCCAGCCAGCAGACCGTCTGCTAACAGAGACACCTGAGAGACACGAGAAAGTGAAAATGGGAGTGATCGAGTAAAGAACGGGAATGGGACAAAGAACTTTGAAACATGCTCATGTCTTGACAAAAAAAAACTTTTTTTGAGAACCATTTCCTGTGCACTCTGAGAGAAGAACAGTTTTATATATTATAACCCTTCAACAAACCCGTCCGCAATGTATCAGCGCTCCATACATAAATGATATTTTTATATAAAAATTGATCCTTTATATTTTTGAAATACGTTATAGTTGAAGCTGCTAATAATTGTTGTTTTATAATTCGTCACCGGTAGTCCAGGCTCAGAGATTCACACGTCACAGTGATAAGTGATTTAACTTTTCAAGCTTTTTGGCTCATGTTGACTGCTGGAGGCCCAGTCTAATGAATTTCCATTGGACACAAATGGACCAATCACAACAATGCTTTGGGCTCAGACCACACACCCTTGTGTTTGCTATCGGACCTGGCTAGACCACTGTTCTGGTGCGCTGTTGCACAATCATAGCAGTGCTGATTATAGACACCCTCTGTTTATGAAAGCACAGATTTGATGCTAATGCTATTAAGCTTGTATTGTATTAAGGTGGGCTAAACTCTATGTTTGTACTAACCACTTTCACTGCATGAGTGAGACTGAAAGGAGGTTTGACCCGAAAACCTCCTCACCCCCCTCCGCATAATTAGGGCTTGAATCCCGCCCTAAACGCTCAGCGGATTGGGGGTCTATACCTGTGTACCCTTTACTACTCATAGCACTTGAATTACACTATGGAATCGTCGAATTACTACAGATAATATTTTATATTTTGTCTTCTTTAATCAGTGTTTTACTTTCCTTCCTGCATTCAGTGCCATTTGTGTTGTCTTTGTCTTTGTGTTTTTTCCCCCCCCAAATTATAATTATTCAGAATGAATGTAAATAAATCATTTTATAAACGATCCAGATTTTCAGAAGTATTAGCATCGGTTCTTGTTTTACGTGTTTATATATGTTTTTTATCGTTTGTGTTGAACAGGTACGCAGAGTTATTGTTGCTAATTGTTAAAGAGACTAGTGACTGAGCCACAGATTGTCAGAAAGCTATATTCTACTTTAGTTTCATTTTATTTGTTGGTTTCCCCTGTGAAAAGCCTGTGCGGCTGAAATAACCACTGTATTAATAAACCAAACCAATAAAATGAATGTTCAATCTTTGTATCTCATTTTCTCCTATTCTGTAATGACAGAACAAACCACACATCCACCCACACACACTGATGAGTAAAGCTGCTGTAAAAAAAGCTGATAAACACACCTGTGAGAGCGCATCAGTTGGATTTTATATTAACGCAGTGAATTGCTATGTTGCTCTGCAACTGTAGCAACCTAAAGAGCAATATTCTATATTCACTAATTAACTATATTAGCTAGTGGTAGAATTATTATGAATAAATGCATTTGTGTAAATGTTAATTTATTGAATCTAGGTGTCTTTTATTATATTGTTGTATCCGCCATTGTACTTCACCTTGCATTAAAGAGTTCACCCAAAAATGAAAATTAGCTTTTGTTTTACTCACCCCCGAGGCATCCTAGCGACTTTATATGAGTTATATAAAAAATTGTCCTGGCTATTCCAAGCTCTATCATTGCAGTCAGTGGGTGTTGCAGTTGAACAGTCCACAAGTCGTCAAATAAAGCGCGCACATCCATAACAAAACGTGCCGCAGATGGCTCCGGGGGGTGAACAAAGGCCCCCTGTAGCGAATCCATGTGTTTTTGTAAGAAAACGATCCATATTTCAAATGTAATAAACACTTTTCTCTCACTTCCGGTATCTGTCATATGCGGAAACCGTTCCGGCGGATGATGTAGGACGTTGGCGTTGCTTGATTAGTGACGAATGAGGAGAGAGAACAAAACAAAATGCCGGTCACGAATTAGAATTACAAACCGAGGATTTGCAAAGAAAAATGTCTGAGGATTTCAATATAAACCAAGAGAAGACTGGTTTTAACTTTGCTAAAGTAAGGAAACTTTGCTTCCTTTGCTCCTATAAACAAACTCGCGAGACTAGCGTATCTCAGAGGCGCGCGCTGCGTATACGTGCTGCGTCATCCGCCGGAACGCCTTCAGTATGACAGATAAAAGAAGTGAGAGAAAAGTGTTTATTACGTTTGAAATATGGATCTTTTTCTTACAAAAACACATGGATTCAATACAGAGTGCCTTTATTCAGCCCCCCCGGAGCCGTCTGCGCTAATTGAGCTAATTTTCATTTTGGGGAGAACTAACCCTTTAAGTGCACAAGCTGTCGCTGCCGATAGCCTGGTGATAAGTGTGCTGACATATAGTACAACTGTGTTCACGGCGACCCGAGTTCGATTCCTGTCTCTAGGTCCTTTGCTGATCCCGCCCCTCTCTCTCCACCCAATACTTTCCTGTCTGCACTCAACAGTCCTATCTAATAAAAAAAGTAAATAAACAAAATAATGCAATGGCTTGCAATATTACTGTGAATCTTCTTTTTTTTTAAATACATTTTTTTTTTATTTAGCAAGAATCCACTAAACTGATCAAAAGTGACAGTAGAGACATTTAAAATGTTACAAAATATTACTCTATATTGAAAATAAATGCTGTTCTTTTGAAATTCCTATTTATCAAAGAATGCTGGAAGAAATTCATCAGTTTCTACAAAAATAATAAGCAACAAATCAGCATATTAGAATGATTTCTCAAGGATCATGTGAAGACTGGAGTAATGATGCTGAAAATCCTGCTTTGCATCACAGGAATAAAATATGTTTTAAAATATATTAAAATAGAAAGCTGTTATTTAAAATTCTAATAATATTACTGTTTTTAATATATTTTGATCAAATAAATGCAGCCTTGGTGAGGATCAGAGATCAAAAATCAAAATCAAAAGTTTCTCTAGAATACATGGCTATATCTGCCTGGATAGCTGTCAATGGAGAGAAAAAAAAAAGCTTTTTGCTGCCAGATAGTGTAGCTACTACAAGTACCTCTACAAGCAGGGGCTTGTAGCCAACTGCTAATGCTAACAGGCCAAACTTTGACCTCTTGAGTACCACAAAATAATACAAAGCAAGCAATACAAGACTGACTCACAAACACTGGCCTTTGAACATTCCACCTATATGTGCTAAAATCTCTAATGCACAACCTCTCGTGACTCATTACTTTATCAGACGAAAGTTTAAGCCTTAACTTCAACTCAAGATGTTAGAGTGCAGACATAATGAAACATTTATGTCAACACAAAGAGCAGCTCTTCGAGGAAACTAGTTTAACATTAGACATCCAATCCCTCCAGTTCTCTCTCAGCTCCTCATTTCCCTCTCCCTCCTTCTCTCTTTTTGAGTGCAGTAGAGCGCAATTGGCTGTTTCTGGGGTCATGCTACCACTGCGATTTCTGGCCAGATAGAAGCTGGCAAAGTGCTAGAAGCAGAGGAGGAGGCTTTGCTTTCCCTTCTCTTTTTTCTATTCCAGTGTACTTCCAGACACAGTGAGCAGAATAAAAGGCAGCCAAGATCAGAGCGAACAAAGGAGAGATAAAGCAATTGAGAGAGAGGGAGCGAGTAGCAGTAAAGCATGAGCGGAGGTGCGGAATGAGGGGCGAGAGGGGGGCGGGGCTCTGTGGTTGGCTGCTGGTGTGGCGCAGGGAGGTGTCAGGGGTTCTGGCTGTGGGGCGCTGGGATGGAAAGGAATGTGACCGTGGTTTGGGGGCTGTTTTGCTTCACAATGTTGTTACCAGGGAACATATTTCATACCTGACGTGTAGTATGCATGTTCCATAATGTATGTCCCTGCTCTTTTACATAATGTACTTCGCTCAACTTGTCTTACCACTATGACTTTTCCAACGGTCTTCACTCTGCCCCACAATCCTGCAGCCCGGAATCAACAGCGATAAGAAGAGACAGATTCTTCCTGTAAATAAAACTCCCTGCTACTTTAAAGACAGCATGACACAGCATTCACAAAACACTGAAAGTAAGCATGATCGTTTAGAATATCCACATTATTCCAGATATTTAAATATATGTTAATAACATCTATATTGATTCATTAAAAAATCTTCATAATCTTTATTCAGAATTTAACTAAAACAACTTTTCTTTTCTGATGACGTCACCAAGGCCTCTCATTTTAGCCCCTCCCCTTTATCAAACTATCCATTCCCAGCAGATAAAATCAAATATCGTCCTACATGTTTCTCACTGAATCTCAGAAACATTTTACAGGCGTAAAATGGGTTAGGAACTGCATTTCATGACTTTAACTTCTGTAACCTGACGTATAAAGGTATTTAGCAGGAAATTATTTAGGACAGGACGTGGTTTTATCCACAAGGAGTCTGACTGAACGTTGCAAAGCAGGCTGTAATATTAGCAGATAATGCTATTTTCCTTGCACATGTAGGTTTTTGTTCTGTCAGCAGAAAAGTGTCATTTCAGAGGTTATTACATTTCAATGAAATAATATGAAAACTTGTTTCATAACTTCAAGATTTGTGCAAAAGAAGACCAGAGACATGAATTCATGCAAATATCATGCTTTTAAAGGTGCACTCTGAGTCCGAGTCAACAGTCCAGAATCCAGAGTGATGGTATGGATCAGCATGTGTGTGATCCATCAGTCCAAACAGAATAATTATGAATGGAAAACTAAAATGTTTAAGCAAGCAGTGCCTGCTGGAGTGATAAAACGAACATGACGGCTACAGCCATCACAGGGCAAAATCCCTCCATCCAGGAAACAGCTGCACCATCCACAGCAGACCAGTGGAATGCAACACACAGCCTTCCTGCACCAGCCGCCATTTTATTAAGCTCAAGTATGTCCATTTTTGAAGTGTGTAGCATGGTTGATATAAATGAATCAATCAAAAGGTATGACAAATCTGCTGGGACACGGCAGTGCTTAATAAACAAAATCTTCATACATCCATACCAACAGGTGTCAGTATGAAACCCAAGACCCCTGGGAAAAAATCTCCATTTATTTTCTTAACACACATTACTGGTCTTACTGTGAATGCCTTATCTGTGAATTTCATCACTGCTGGACGGAAACATCATAGGTCCAAACCCGCTACTTTTCAGGAAATAAGAAAATAATTAAACACTGCGCTGTTAAAGTTGGTACTATGGCTTTACATGTGGTCATCACATTATTAACCTTTTACCAAAATTAAGTTCACATGCTTTTTGACAAGCAAGTTTTGGAGATATATGTTTTGTTGACATTAGAATGGCTGCAATTGTGGCAGTAGTTGCATAGATGGCAAATGCTAGACTAGGACATTTTTCTTCACTCCTAAAGTTGGTGGTGACCAGCTTTAAGTTTCATGCCAACTTTAAGGC